TGTATTCACAGCAGCATGCATCAGCATGGATCTCGTGTGATCGGGAGTTAAAAGGGGGCTTGGAGGGAGAGATGTGAGGCAAAGATACTGTCACGTGAAAGGGCACAGATGAATGTTGTTCTAAAAAAGTTTGACTAGATGATTTGACCAGTTTATCAACATGATCAGCAGTTGGAGTTGTAGCAAAACTTGTCAATCTGAACATAGAGACATGATAAACATATTTTTAGATTCAGTGTGACTTACACTTTCAGAGGATATCATTATCTCTTATGCCATTGCAAATGACTGTCCATAAATATGCCTAGAAGTCTTAGAAAAAAGACACTTCTTATAACTTCCCTGAGAATCGTCCCATTTCTAAGTTTTCTGAAGTATCAAAGTAATCCAGTGATAGTTGACTCCAAATCCACAAGTACCTGGCATGCAGGGACTGCCAATATCTAATTTGGCATATTTTCAATGGTGTCATTTGCCAAAATGAAAACAAATATAGGCTAAAAAAACAAGCTCAAGTTGCAGCCCACAGCTAAATCACTGACTCCATGGAAACATTATACTTCCTATTTCCATCCCACAAAGCTCTTAAATTATTGCAGCTGAAGCTCCAAAACTTGGAACATGATTATTCCCCAAAGTGAACGAAGGGAGGGGAAATGTGTATGGGGGGGCAAAGTATCAGATTTTGACAACCCCCGGTCTAATGCAACACTAGAATATGTCTGATGAGTCAGTTGTACTTGTTGTCTCTCACCTTCACTGCCAATGGATGGTTCCAACTGATCCAAAAGGTCATCTTTAAAATCTCCATCAGCTTTTGGGATAAGTCTGACACACCCAAATTCAATACAGTGCAGTGCAAATAAAAGGTTCAGTAGAATAAGCACACATCGACCGGGACAGCTCGACTGTGAAGTGTTCACATCTATAAATGTCAAAGTCAGAGATCACAGATTTCAGAATAATTGAGGGCAATAACAGAGTTCCAGCAGATATAAACTAATCTCAAGTGTGAAGTGATGCACAATTAACAGAGGAGGATAAACAGGGGTGTTAAGACTTGCTTCTTGTTAAAATGGCCTGGAAAAGTGCAGGGAGTTGACAGCTACCTGTGTCGGGAGCTGACATCAAAAATGCAATCCAGACTTCACATACCAGGTTGTATCTCTCTGCTGCTGAAGAATCTAGATAGAGTTTTTTTTTTTTTTTTTAAATAGTCATGAATAAATAAAACTGACTGCTTTGATTTTATTTACATCCAACTGAAATTGGGTTTCATTGTGGCACTAGCGAGATACTGCATGAACCGCAAATAATATGTCCGTTAATATAACTAATACTTTATACCAGCTGTGTCAGCATACATCAGTGGACACATGTTCTTCTAACCGGTCTGAATGATAGCTGCTGGATATAGAGACAACAAAACAATTTTCAAATAATGAATAGAACAAAGAGCAAGAGAAAAACTTTTTTGCTGTGTCACTTTCCCTTTCCCCTCTTTTCCTGTTTTTAGCTTGCTTGTTCACTTCCCCCACTCATTTTCTCTCCTAGAAAAAAGAAATAAGAGGGGTTGAGAGGCTGAAGACTTACTGCACAAATAAGCTCAAATGTATCATTTGGTGAGTCACCCTCATTCACAGGCAATCTACTGTATGTTTTCTCCACAGCCGTAGTTGGATTTCATGAGTTGTCTGAGGAGCACGGGCAGTTTTACCCTTACCAGTTCTTTCAGATACAGACTTTCACAGGTCACTCTCTGTGGTAGGCAGTGTGATGGCACTGAGAACTGTATCTGCGCTACTTACTCTTTCTGCAACTGATTGTACACAGCAGATATCACTGAATAACACATCAGTGGGTGTTTCTGATGATACTCAATGGTCTGTTGAAGGAACATTTAAACCCTAAACAAGATCTGTCAGTACGCTGTTCCAGACTGTGCTCCCACTAGCTTTAACGTTAGCTTTGACTGAAAAAAAACCTCTGTCTCTCAAAGCTAACAACGCTGCCTGCTTATTGTCCCAACCACAGTGGAACCTTAAACAGAACTTATCCTTCATTTCTAACAAGATCAAGCTCTTTCTACTTGTGTTACGGATGGTGCACGGACCCAGACAAAGCCCTCTTACTTTAACACCCTGCCACTCCATGGTCACTGAGGATTAATAGATGAAAAGGTGAATTGTGACAGCCTAGTTTAAACCAGCACATTTGGTTTCCCTCAGTGTCAAATATTAATTTCAAGGTAGTGTAGTATATTTATGTTGATATATTTGTCGATAAAACAGCCTTTTAAAGCCCATTTGTCACCTGTCTCGACAGTCTGTGTGCATTAGTGTTTTTCAGATACTGAAAAAGTTATAAAGAATCTGAATTTGTTTCGAGGTTTGTGTAACAAATTTACATGTGTACTTGATTCCAATTAAATAAATAAAAAACTAGGGTTGGTGTGCCTGTACTTTCTGCAGCTCACATATTTTGGAACTCTAAATTCTAATATCACAGCCTCCAACTCATTCTTACATTTATTTCCTCTAAAAGTCGCTCAAAACTCCTCCTCACTGCTACAGCTTAAAATAAAAAAAAAAAAAAAAAAGAAAAATGCAGAAAAAGCTGCCAAAGACGTTCAATCTCCACCACTCTCATAGTTCTGGCCCATTTTTAGTGTCTCTGCATGGGTTTCACAGAGGCTAAAAGTGCATTTTAGAATCAATGTTGAGATTTCATTGATTGATTTAAAAACACACAAACAGAAGGTTTACGTGACTGACCTTCTAAATCCCTGAGAGCAATAACTGCACCCTGATGTGCTCGGGCAGAATATTGCTTTTAATCTAGACTTGAGAGCAGCGTGCACTCTATCACAGCTCCAATGATTAAAAACTATGTTTATAAATTTCTGTGTAATAAATATTCAGTTATTTCAATAATAACCCAGATGCTGATGTCACACTATGCTGAGGGAACCTGTAATCAAGTAGAGAATTAGAATTAGCTTTTCTAAACCTCAAGTGTCAGGAAGACTTTACCAGCGACAAATCAACTGCCACGCAGAGGTGAGCTGTGTTCGGCAGCGACAGCCGTTTGTTTCAAACTGAAGGAGATGGGAACAGAAAACAAAACATCCCAGTTCAGCTGGGAGTCTGACCGAGTTTAACCTGCAATAATGGATTTTTTTGGGCCACTTTGTGCGGAGTTGCATGATAATTATTCATAGTCATTTCATATATTGTCAATATAAAAATAAAGATAAGTGCAGCTTTAATAAAAGAACATTCAGTGTCACCAACTGAAAATCCAAGGAAAAACACAGATACCATTGTTTAATTGTGAAATGATCATAGGCAATGCAGTACAAAAACATTACAGCCAAGAAAGTTACTTGTGTATTACATTACACCTAATCATCAGCTGATCGACCAAAACAAATCAATCTGGTAACCAGCCTCCGGATGTTATGTTTTAGATGGAGGTTAAAATTTTAAAAACTGTTAAAAGGATAGTTCAAAATTATGGGAATACACTTATTCGCTTTCTTGCTGAACATTAGATGGGTAGATTGATGCCACTTCCATGTCTGGTGGCTAAGTATAGAGCTATCGCTAGAGGACAGTTAGTTAAGCTTGGCAGCAAAAACTGGCCAGATTGGCCGTATTTCGGCCGGGGTCAGTGGCTTCCTGAAGTCTTGCTGTCATCGTCTAGCTGTTTCTCCCCACTGCCAGTCCTTGCGCTGAGCTAACCTAACCTTCTCCTACCTGTAGCTTCACATTTAACAAACACATATCTTCTCATCTCACCCTCAGCAAGAAAGCAAATAAATTTATTTTCCAAAATGTCAGAGTAATCCTTTAGGTGAACTTGACTAAGATGCAAAAATGCAAAGATGTAAATAACACTCTCATACGGTAATGCGTAAATGTGTGCACAACTCCTTTCACTAGAGGTCAAATGGCATTTCAGTAAACACAATTAGCAAAACGGTGTTGTGGGAATTTTCAGTAACGGCTTTATTAAATTAGTGCAAAAGACAGACGTAACTCATTCAAAATGTCATCTTTTTCTGTAAGGTGGTCTTCCACACAAACCCACACGCTACATTCTTTTGATGAGCGCAAGAGAAACAAGCAAAACTATCCACCAAAACCACTGCCTTTGTTTTCTTCTTACACATCTTGTGACTTGTAATGAGAGATGGAGAGAGAACAGGAGAGGGCAGAACTGATGGGAGACAAAATTGAACCTAAACACATGGCAGTCATCAAAACAAGACTCCTGATTCTGCAATCAATTACAGATTTCAAAATAATAATAAAAAAACAAACATAACAACAAAAAAAAGATGTTACAATAAAATAGTCAACACATCAATAGCATTAGAAATAGTGCCTAAAATTCACAGAAAAAAGGTTTCCTCTTTTTTTTATTCACTCACTGTGTGGGTGACCAAACAACTTGCAATCAAAGTACATAAGTTAATCAATACTGTATTTATACAATGGTAAAAAATAAAATATTTATATAATAGTACTTTTTTTTTTTTTTAAGGTTTACACCGTTACTATAAAGATATACTGTTTTCCACTCCATGACAACTAATGCAATAAAAACAGAAGCAAATCGAAGAAACGACTCCAGAGAGTTTCTGACTTTGAAGGCTTATGGCTACCACCTTGTCCTAAAAGACCACAACCACTGCAGACAAAGAAAACAGGCTTTGTTCTTTCCACTTAAAGAGGGAAACAAGATCAAACACAGTCTGTGACAAGAAAAGAAAAGAACACATCAAAAAGTCAATGCTCTTCCCCGACCAGGACAGTAGCTCAGCCTTCGCAGTGTTCCCTGGCCCACCGAGAGACAGAGAGCGGTCAATAGACGGGGAGACGGGGAAGGTGAGGCAGATAGATAGTTGGGATGATGTCTATGCATGGGGGAGGGGAGTAGGGGGGTGGGGGGTGTGGTGAAGAGGCGGGGAAAAGGAAACAGAGAAATAGAGGTAGCTATGGCAGGAAAAAGAGGGAAGGAGGAGAAAAAGAAAGCTGGGGATGGAGTGAGAAGTTTCTGATGAACTGTGGGAAAAGACCAAAGGTTTAAAGGTGAGGTCCAATATGAAGTAGATTTATAGCTTTTATTTTGTTGCAATATCAATACACATGTTGTTTCAAGTATCTTGTACGGATGTGGCATGTTGCCATGAACGCTGCTAACACCCAGTGCTTGTCTGCCAGTGTAATGGTGCGTTGCCAAAATGGAATACAGACACAAGAAAAACTAGAAAGAAATGGAACAATCAATGGTGGAGAAGGGTTGAGGAGAGGACAGATTGAGGGGAAAAAAGTCAAAGCGAGTCAAACTTGTGTCAGGAAAAGAGGAAGAGATGAGATGAGAGACGACTGAAGTTAGGAAGGCCAGATGCAACAAAGAAAGTAAAGATGAAGAGAAGCAGACGAGAGTGGCAAGAGGATAAGTGAGAAATCTTTTAAAAAACACAGAGTGGTGTTGTACAGCAGTTGTGCCGGTGGGGATTGTGTGTATTTTCTTGTTTGATTTGTCGTGGTGAGAAGAATTCTTCTCGCTTCTTCTTCTTCTTTTTCATCTTCTTCTCTCCTAAGCCTGGGTTGCGTGGGGGAGATAAGTCGTTGCTTTTCAGTGTTTGCGAAAAGGACTACGGGAGGTTTCAGCAGAATCTACAGGCCTGGTTGGAGAGGAGGGGGTGAAAAGAGAGGGGACAGGAGAGGAAGGGGGGATGAGAGGAAAAGAGGAAAGGAGAGAAGTGTGGGAAAGAACGGAGAGAAAATAGGAGATAATGTAAAGTCAAGGTCATCAATCAACCAGATCAAATGCAATCAATTACACTGGACAGGTGATGGTACTGCGTCGTTAAAGATTCAGTGAGGACAGAACAGAGAAGTTACAATTATTCACTCTTAAGCAGCAGCAACTAAGTGACCGGCTTTAATACGAAGGTCCACCCTGAAACTGCCAGCGTGCACCTTCCTCAACATCCTTGACAGTTCAATCTCTACGGTTGAACACAAACAACACCCTATAAAGTTAGAGGGCAGAGAAGTGCACCATGTTTTTGATTTATCATGCCATCCAGAGACATTTTCTGAAGTGTTTACAGTGAAGATTAATTAGCTACTGACGTGTACCAGTAGAATACTTAATTTAATTTTATTTCTTTTACTTCAGAATGAGTTCAGTTCATGGGGCTAAGAACAGCTCTGAAGCAGAATGAGCATGTGTCCAACAAATTAGGCTGGAGTGAACTTTCCATTTATTTCTGCGAGGAGGATCTGTTTCTATTCCCGCAACATAACCTTTATGAGAACCTGTGAGCTTCAAAGCATCGCGGAACATATGTTTATTTTGCACTTATGCTGTGCGTGTCCTTGGCGATACAGAGGTTTGAGTGAGTGTACAGAAAAAGCGCACAGGAGGGTATGTTCTCTGGTAACGTGACAGTTTGTCTCATCACTCTGCTAGAATTGCTTACAACAAGCTGGTTCGAAATTTGATTCCGCAAACACACAGTCACATAAATACCCACAGCAGGCACATGTACACACACACACGCACATTGCAGAATGAAATGTGAGAGTTTATTGATTGCCTCTCTGCCAGCCATCTCCCTCGTAGTCTGCTCCCTATTTCTGACGTGTTTGGAGATGGCTGAGGATTCGACAGAAACCCTCCTCACTCCTACTCACCATTTTGCTCATTCTCTCCTCTTTTTTCCTTTCCTGTCTCCTGTTTTTTGAAAATATCAGTTTTCTGATATGACTGGATTAGAAAGGGTATTTTGGGCTTTTGCTATGACCTTAAACTCTATGTAAGGACAAAGTAAGACATGCAGTCAAAGAAAACCAAATCCTATTTAAATGGTTACACAGGCAGGTGCCTGAACTTGCAGTTAACAGTTTGGTAAAGGTTGCCTTGCTTCCACTAAATTCAAATTGAGCTTCATTCTAATACGAGCACTTCACTACATGTATTACATTCTTCCCAAGTGCACTCTAGAGAAAAAAAGGTAAATCAAGGTTGGTAATCACTGTTGAGACCTTTTGCAACTCTGTCGAACGCAGTGCACAAATCATCTATTTTATGTATTCTATATTGAGCATTATATAAATAAAAAGAATTTGAATTTGAAATTACTGTAGCAACAAAACTCTCAGCTTTCATTTTTCATACCACTCCTCTAATCCACTTTTTGTGTGACGGTTCAAAAGACGCCTTTACAGAAAGAATGGACTTCCAGGTTCTTTATTGCAAATTTGCATAATCTGCTGTGACATAGTGATGTGCTGTCTGTTTGGTACATTTACATCTGTAAGGCAACAAACACTGCTTCTATACTATGTTTTTAAAGTTCCTAGTGTTAACTATAGTAGCTGTTAACACAACGTCCTCAAGTGAAGCTCTAGGTAGCAGATTTAGTGCACAGCTCAACTTCAAACTTAGATTTTTATAACCTGTTTCCTACATAGAAAAATGCATCATGAAATTAAAAATTCTTAAATAGAAATTAGTTGTCATTAAGCTAATGTTAGCATGAGAATGACCCATTTATTTCAGGTGCTTAATAAAATGCTGTTTATTATTAAGTCTTCAGTAGTGATTGGATGTCTTGACTCCCTCTGTCAATCTGTGTGTAGTTGCATCCTGTTGAAGTTAGAGTTAGTTAGTTAGTTAGTTAGTTAGTTAGTTAGTTAGTTAGTTAGTTAGAACCTTCAACCCTCAGACTGGTAAGGATGGGTCAAAGTTAAATTATGAGATTTCCACTTTGAAAACCTCACATTTCTGTTGTTTCTGAGCCCATATTCTCTTAGCCTGGTGAGCACCATTTCAAGAGTAAGAAAGATGTTTGTCATCATCTTTGCCAGTTACAGTGACCCGGGCCCTGGAATCCCCTGCAGGACCTTTGCACGTATCCAGAGCTGGTGGTATCCCACAAACCAAGTTGTTGTACTGGTAAAGTCCTTTTTCGTATTTATTGTGAGGTATTTGTTGGATAAATCATCGATTTCCACTTGTAAGTAAGCCTATGCCAAATCGATTTTCATGAAACTTTACCATCCTGACAGGGAAGCAAAGATGTCCTCATAAAGCATACTGTCCAGGGTTAACAGTCACACAGTCTCCACATATGTGTACCTTGCTTGGAGTCTGCTCCAGATTTTTCAGCTCTGCTTTGACTGATGGATTGATTGCGTATGGCACTGGTCTGGCTTTGAGAAATTCTCAATCTCAATCTTTGCATTCATGCCCTGTGTTCCTATGCCAGTCATGAACACTTCCTCAGAGTCAGCGATTATTAGTGACAGTCTCTCAGGTGTGGCCTTGCTGCCCTCCTTTGCTGACACAAAGAGTGCCTTGATGGTGTGCCAATCCAACTGGATTTTCCTGAGCCATTCACTTCCCAGCAACGGGGGATTCCCATTTTTTGGTACATAGAGGTTTAGCCACTGAGTTTTGTCTCTGTAGGTCACTGTCACTTAAATTTTTCCTTTGGGATACACCCTTCTGTAAGTCTTTTGTGCAGTTCGTTTCAGAATTATGTGTGAAAATGGTAGTTTATAGTCATGTACAGAGGTCACTGTTAAAGCTGAGTCTGTCCAATTGCATTTTCTCATGTCTCATGCCTGCCACTTGTGGAGTGATCCATAGTACTATTAGATCATCTGTCTCTTTCACGCTGTGAAGCTGCAGACAAGACAATTCACTTTTGTTTTGAGTTGTTTTCATCAGAGCTTCTTTCTGTCATTTTGTGTACATTGTTGTATTTTTCTTCCTGGGGCTTTTGTTGTTGCTTTTTGTTTCTCTGTATATTGTCCTTTTGATCCCGTTTACCAGCTTTTCATCCTCTTCAAAGTGTCCCTGTTTGCCACAGCTCCTGCATTATTTGTCTTTAAACCAACAGTCAACCGGGTCATGTGACATTTCCACGGCGGTAACATTTCTGTCCTCCTTTCCAGTTCAGTGACATTTTATCTTTGATGTATCTCTGAAGCACCCTGTGCTGGTGTGTCCATCGATATGGCGATGTCTTAAGCCTTCTCTAATGTAAGGTCTTTTTCACACAGGAGCTTCTTTAGTGTGGTTTCACAGTGCATGCCACACAGTAATCTGGTTTCTAAATGCTGCTAGAGAGCGTCTACTATTTGCGTATATTTTGTCAGCTGGCTTATCAGGGGTAAACAAGCTCCATACCAACCCATAACACAGAGTAAGACGCTGGCTTTCTTTTAATCATTAACTGTGTTTTCATCACAATATAACTCCACTCTTTCAGTATAAGTTGCCCAGTCTTTAATATCACTATCAAAGGCTGTAATGGCTTCAATTATTGTCACGTCTGTTATGATAATTTCGTCCAATTCTTCCATGTTTTCTTTTCTGCTGGCTCCTTCTAAGTCACTGCACATTCATCTTGACTCATGTGTCCTCTGCCAGCGAAGCGACAGTGTATGTGGTCTAGGAACACAACTATGCCATTAATAAAAACACTGGAGAAATAAATATGTTTTCTGGTTGTTTTCTGGTTGAATCCAAACATAGCTTAACACATATAGATCAATATGCACCTAATAGTGCCTCCAACAATGTGTTACTAAAACATAAAGTCGTCCCATATTATAATGTAGGCTACACCATACAACTTTAAATTATGTTCCCCAAAAATAACACAATATACATGAAATCACAAAACATTATGCTAATACTCAATATTAAATGACTAGCGTCTGCTAGGTTAGCATAATTGGATATTTCCCACTCACTATAAACTACAGGAATACTGTTAATCCTGAAACATACACATTTCTCCACACATGCATACATAAAAAAAACAAAGTAATACCGGCATCTGCAAAAGATAGACTGTTAAACTTAATATATTGTTCACCCTGTAAGTGTGATTTATGCTAGAATTTGCGATTCTACAGTGACTTCCTGTTTACACAATTGATTACTTTTGATTACAGATGTTACCAACCGATTTACACATGACTTATGTCTTAAAAATATTTCTTAAACTTTAATGGTGCAGCCTGAATAGTGAATTATTGGTTTGAAATCAGTTACTTATAAGTTTATTAATTAACCAATAGTTAGAAGAACTTAGAAAGGGCTATACTTAAAATGAATAACAGTAAAAGAGTATGAGAGTAAAGAATAAAAGAGAGAAAAAGAATAGCCGTTTTAGCACAATTCCGGATTGATCTATAACAGATGAATCTGCTCAAATTTAAATAACCTTGTAATTATTTAGGACTATATGCCCACATACAATGTACCATGGCAGTATATTGTCTGAAATTTTCAGTAACCTTTACAGTATACAAGTTTCCAGATCCATGTAATATGAGCAATTTACAGTAAATTTTGACGCAAAGTAGCTTCACTACTTTTGTATTCACTTCTGCTGACTGTGACTGTGTGCAAGTACAACACGTCAGTGCACAGAAGCAATGGTTACACTGAAGAACGGATCAGGTGTACTATAAGCATTCTGCCTTACTTAACAGGCTTTTCTTTAAGCCTTGCCTTTTACTGCTAATCTAGCAAAATGCATGCAGCAAAATGTGGTGTAAAACAACCAATTTGGAGGTGGCAATTTGTCATAGCTAGTGTTTGTTTCTAAAGGGTTTACTGTTTTCTCCATTTCTATTGTGAGTGCATGAGTGGGTT